AGCTTGTTGATCGAAAGGTCGCAGGTTCGATTCTGGGGAGCGGCGTGAGCTTCCGCTGTCAGCCCTAGCTTCTGCCAACTTAGCAGTTCGAAAACATGCAAAATGTGAGTAGATCAATAGGTACCGCTCCGATGGGAAGGTAACGGCGCTCCATGCAGTCATGCCAGCCACATGACCTTGGAGGTGTCTGCGGACAACGCCGGCTCTTCGGCTTAGAAATGGAGATGAGCACCACACCCCAGAGTCAGACATGACTGGACTTAATGTCAGGGGACAACCTTTACCTTTACCTTAGACATACCCCAAAGCCAGTGTGATTTGAGTACTAGATTATCTATTTATTTCAGGTATTTCTGCATTGCCTCCCAGCCCACAAAGCTCCCAAGGTGATAAATAAAAATTATTTAATGACTCCACTGTACTCACAGAGACCATGAGCCCCAGCAAATCTAAATCTGAATAGTGATCTGTCCATATCAACAGTTTTTCAACTCCCAGATCACCATCACCCTGGCCAGCAAAATCCAGCTTTGTAAGGCCAAATATTGAGACAGTCCCATGGTTATCATGGGAAACCTTGAAATCCTGAAAGGGGTATCAAAGCATGGATGTTAATTCCACACACAATAGGTTTGAAGGAAGATTATCACAATTTTGGGACCATTTACAGCAGCTCTGACAATGAGATAGTTTGATAGTGATGTGGACAGTACACCAATTCAATTTTATTTTCATTAAGAGGCATATATACTCAAATGATGGAGAGTGCCAGACAATATACTTCAATAGAGAAATTGACTCATGATTGATCACTGCAACTCCTCGTCCCAACTTACCAGAAGTTGCCTGCTGTTGAATCTAGAAATCTGATGGGCATAATTGGGTTAACAATCCACTCTTCAATTAATCAAGTTTCAGTTATACATGTAAAATCAGCTTACTTGTCCAGGATCAAGTTTTGAATCATATAGCTTTTCCCAGTCACTGACCTGGCATTAAGCAACTGTACTTTGCTGTTTAATGGAGTTCTAGGAATCTGATGATTGAATGGTGAACCAGAAAGATAAACAGCCATAAATTTGTTCTCCCTCTTTTTCTATTAGTTTCTGCCTCAACTGCTATATTTCTCTCTGCCCATTGTGTCTGAAATTGTATTCACTGAACCAGAAATTTAGAACAAGCAAACTACCATAAAACGGAGGTCAGTTTGGCCTGAAGAACACCACAATACTTAGCCAAAACCGACTTCATGGGATTGTACTCAATGGTGCTCTGTTTTCGCATTTCAAGAGCCAGTATAATGTTGTGGCAAAAGCTTTTCAAGGTCAATGCATAATAGCTCATCTTGCCCCACAGTTTCACGCCATCTGGATTCTGTAGGCAAAGCAGGACTCTGTTGTGTTCAAGGATAAAAGCCACAGGGCAAGAACTCGTGCCTCTGGCAAGATGCCTTCCTTAACAATGCCTGCAGGAAGGAGATGTCCAACACAGTCTCAGCAACTCAGGTGTCCTTGATTTCAGCTTCCCTCCACAGTGGCCAAGCTTCCTCAGTTCCATTGGCAAGATGCCTGACTCAATAATACTGGAGACTGGGGGGGGGGGGGGGGTTAAATCTGTTGACACAGGGCTGTAAGCAGCATCACACTTTAACTTTTCCTCCATCTTGACTCAATATCTCAAAACTGCTTAGAACCTTTAATACAGTTTGATATGAGGTATATTTGTGCATAATCAGCACAGGTTTATTCTTCTTAAAGAGAGGTAAGAGAAGACAGAGTTCTACATGGTATAAGGAGAGTTAGAGCATCTCGCCTAGATTCTCACACAAATCATTCAGAGGACAGGCAGAGAAAAAGAGCTAGGACTGGGACTCTGGGAGGCCAGGTTTCAAATCTCTGTTCAGCTCTGGAAATCTTCTGGATGACCTTGGGGAAGGCACTGACAAAGTTCCTATGAATCAATATGGCTGAAATAGACTTGAAAGCACTTAACAATAACAGTACACATAACAGCACCTACATCAACTGATAGTGGCTCTCCAGGAACCTCACTTGCCTCTAGAATCGCCATCTATTATGGTTAATCTGGCAGTGCCCAGCATGGGGAAACAGTCACCTCATGCCTCACATTACCCGGCTTTCCCCCTACCTCATCTGCTGTGCAGCTTTTCCCATTGAGTAAAATATAGCACAGGAAGCCTCCCGTATTGCTGCTGTGGTAGCATATGCCAAATTTCTATAGTTTTATGGAGCCCTGCTGGAAGTAGATCAACATCATGGGATGAGAGCCGGCAGGCTCCATTGTAAAACTATGAAGATGCAGTGCATGCCACTGAAAGTAACTGTAACTGTAAGAGGTATTTCTCAGTGCTCTTTGGAGAAGGCCTACGATATGACTTGAACTGTCAGTGCCTTTGAGAAACTGTCCTCCTGCAAAGTTAGAGAAGTTGCTTCTTCATACACTGGTGTATATCAACAGTACACATTAATGACCTCATTAGATGGGAGAAGAAGCTTTGGTATGCTCCATTTTGTTGCCCCTTTAAGAATGGAGTAAGCTGACCCCCTTTACATGACATACTATTATTCCCGGTGGGGCCCCGTGCTTAAAGAGGCTGCGAAGTGGAGCGTGCTGCTATAGTTGCAACATGGGGGACTTCCAATGTTGCTTGAAGCAATGGGGAGAACCAGATGGTTGATGCTTCCCTCCATGGGATTGCCCTGCTGATAACCCGGGTGATGTGGGGCGTGTGGTGATAGGTTCTCCATGTTCTCCAACAGCAGTCGCTGGATTTGCCATGAGGCATGGTGATTCTGGTGGCCAGTGTGAAGAGGTTCTTATGATGGTCTGATGCTGCTTGAATTGCCATGGTTCCATCCTCTTGAATTCTATGCAAAATAAGTCTCTCCAGAACTTTGTAAAGGTGGCACAACAGGGAGATTGGTCTATAGCTTTTTGGATCATTTACGCTCTTTGCCTGGTTTCAAGATGGCTATGACTCTTGCTTTCCTCCAGATTTTGGGGATCTGACAGGATGCAGTGCAGTTGTTCATCAGTTCCAGCAGCCAGCACCTTGCTTTTGGACCAAAGTTCTTGTTTTGTTCCATTCGTAGATCATCCAGGCCAGCTGCTTTGCCATTTTTACATTTATTGAGAGCCATGTCCAATTCAGTAGATGTAAAAGGTTCATGAAGGTTCTGGAGAGACTTATTTTGCATAGAATTATGGAAAAAATAGACACATGTCTGATTCCACAACAAGCTGGCTTCAGGAAAGGCAAAAGCTGCACATCGCAAGTGCTGAACCTGACTCAGCACATAGAAGATGGCTTTGAAAGCAGCAGATCACAGGAGCTGTCTTCATAGACTTGTCAGCGGCTTATGATACTGTAAACCACTGCCTCCTCCTGAGAAAAATGAATAATATCACAAAGGACTACCACCTCACCCACCTCATAGGAAACCTGCTACAAAACAGAAGTTTTTTGTTGAATTCCAGGGCCAAAGAAGCAGATGGCGGAAACAGAAGAATGGCCTGCCTCAGGGGAGCGTGTTTGCTCCATCAATGTTCAACATTTACACAAATGACCAGCCACTGCCAGAAGGGACAGAGAGCTTCATCTATGCTGATGATCGTGCCATCACCGCTCAAGCAGAGAGCTTTGAGATGGTTGAACAGAAGCTCTCCGAAGCTCTAGGTGCTCTTACTGCCTATTACAGGGAAATCCAGCTGATCTCTAATCCATCTAAAACACAGACATGTGCTTTTCACCTTAAGAACAGACAAGCATCCCGAGCTCTGAGGATCACCTGGGAAGGAATCCCACTGGAGCATTGCAGCACACCCAAATATCTGGGAGTCACTCTGAACTGTGCCCTGACCTACAAGAAGCACTGCCTGAATATCAAGCAAAAAGTGGGCGCTAGAAATAATATCATACGAAAGCTGACTGGCACAACCTGGGGATCACAACCAGACACAGTGAAGACATCTGCCCTTGCCCTATACTACTCCACTGCTGTGTATGCATGCCTAGTGTGGAACACATCTCAGCACGCTAAAACGGTAGATGTGGCTCTTAAAGAAATATGCCGCATTATCACGGGTTGTCTGCGCCCTACAGGACTGGAGAAATTACACTGTTTAATCGGTATTGCACCACCTGACAAATGAGAGACTCCCTCCTGGGCACAGAGAAAACTGGGCGACTTGGATGGCGCTGAACAGACTACACTCTGGCACCACGAGATGCAGAGCCAATCTTAAGAAACGGGGCTACAAAGTGGAATCTACAACATGAGAGTATGGAGAAGAGCCAACTACAGACCACCTGCTGCAATGCAACCTGAGCCCTGCCACATGCACAATGGAGGACCTTCTTGCAGCAACACCAGAGGCATTCCAAGTGGCCAGCTACTGGTCAAAGGACATCTAATCAACTACCAAACTTGCAAACTTTGTGTTTTGTTTGTTTGTTTGTTTGTTAAAAAATGCAGCGCAACTGTTTGGTCTGCTCCTGACACGATAAATAAATAAATCCTCTTGAATTTTGGGACATACCATTTTGGGAGTCACTTGAATTTTTTAGTTGAGCCAGGTCATGATAAAGTTCACAGCACCCTACCAAACTCCAAATCTTATGAATAGGGACCAATTCAGTATTACTCTGCAGTGTGTTTTTATCTGTTCAGTGGCCAGAGATGGTTAATGTCAGAAAATGGAAAATGTAAGTCTGGAATCAGGGGAAACTTTACTCTTCATCTGATCACAGTTCAGATTTTTGTTCTAAAGAACCCTCTGATGTTTCTGTACTTTTGATTCTCAACAAAAGCAGCCATAAACTCTCTGCTTCATCAGTAAATAAGCTATTTTAACAGCAGACTGTTGACCAAAAGTTTTCATGTGGAAACAAAAAGAGGAAGAAGCAATCAGAGGTGGCTTAACACCAGAAAGTTACTTATAACTCTCTCTCTGCCCTGCTCAAAGATTTTCCGCTGGGCTGCAGAGGAAACTGCATAAGGAAACTTTGTCATCTACATAGCTGTAAACGAAACTTTTTGTCTATGAACCACACTAATAGAAATGAAAGCACTGCATAAGAAGCCTGGAAGGTGCCCAAAGGACTGGGCAACGTATCTGTTCACCACAGCCATACATTTCTTGCCCAGAAGGAACAGCAAGTTTTTGTGAAGGTAAGTGAAAACTAAAATAAAATGCACTGAGAATATTTTTGTACGAACATATTGCTTTATATAGTCCAGTTCTCCTTGCATTTCTCATTCTAATTATGCCTCTGTAATTTCAATAACAAAGCAAAACTAGATCTGAAGGACGGGATTCACAATATAACCTAAACCAGTACAATATGAACCAAACTAATCTAATTGAGGAATATGAATGGGCATCAAATAGGTGAGGGATGTAGAATAAAGTTCTTATTTTTTCACCACAAATCTAGGTAAAAGTTTATGTAGAATGTTACTTCTCAATCTTTGGTCCTTCACATCCCAAAAGACATCCAACATGGCCAATGCTCAGGAGTTAAGGAAGTGGAATCACAAATTACTGCAGGATCAAAATTTAAAAACCACTAGGTTGGAAGACAAGGTGGAAAGGACACATAAAACCTAGAGCCGTGACAGTAGCATATTAAAATTCCTGTGAAGTTTATACAACAAATTGAGGAACTGCCTGTAAGTAGTTACATTCCTCTTTATCTGCAGGATATAGACAGGCCAGCTAACCTGTAGGATTGATGTGCATGCATTGTTTTTACTGAAGTAGTTCTAATTCTATAATAAGACATTTGCCAACATTTAGGTCTTCCTGGCTTTTTAAAATATAGTGTCTCTAAAGCAGACTCACAATGTGTGTATCCACACAGCATAATTATGACATTTTGATCTCATTTTGACATATCTCTAATGGAAATCTGGAATTTGAAGTTAGTAATTTCCTTAGAAAGTGCTGCTTAAGAGCTCTATTGCACTATCCTGAAGTACAGCAGGGAATGCTAAATGCTTCATCAAACTACAAATTCCAGTATTTCATTGGAAAAAGCCAACAGTGACCTTATGATCAGTATGACACAAGCTTTAAATCCATTGCCTTTAGAAAAAAATCCTGCAAGCAATGGCTAATAAAGTGATTTTACAAAACATGGCTGGAATCTGCCATAGCTAAAATGCACAATCACGATTACTGTATACTTTTAAAAAATGGAGTGAACAATCTCTGCTCTCTTTCCCTAAAATCACTTTTTCCATTAGCCCTCCAAACTTTTCATGGTTTTCCTTCAGGACAGCATGCTAATGCAAACTCAAATAGTTGAAATACAACAATCACAGGTTTTTAAATCTGCAAACAATAAATCTCCCAAGGCTCCTCTGCAGGTTCATTAAAAATAGTATGATTAGAGACTAGCTTCTTAACAAAAACCATTTAAAAAATATTAGAAGCCATTTAAGTTCTCTGATGGCACACTTCATGACCCTTCTGATTTGTTAACATTTATCTATGAATAAGAACTGTAAAAAGTACATATTGTAGTACACCGCTGGGCCATGTGTCTTAAACAATGTGAAGTTCACTTGCACATGCCTTTTTTGTTACTGCCTTTTGACTTTGTTTTTTCAGTGCAGTAGAGACCACAAGGGGGTGCTAGACAGAGAAGAATGGTTTTATGTGTGTGTGTGTGTGTGTATGTGTGTATGTGGGGGGGGGGGGAAGCGAGTGTGAAGGAGTAAAATCAATTCCACATTTTCCTGTTATTCCCCCCATCCATGTCGCCATTGTGGAAACAACTCTCGTTTATGAAGTGGGGAGAGGGAATAACTAGTAAAAATGGGAGAAATTATTTTCCTCCTTCAATCTTCTCCCCCGCCCCCAATAAAATGGACGATCCTTCTCTGTCTAGCACCTCCTTTTGGAGTCCACCTGGATAATGGAACAGTTCCATTTTTTCCTCTCTCTCTCTGGAAAAGATCATAGTTCAAAAAGACAGCATGTGCTGTGCATGCTTTCAAAATATCCTATGCTCCAGGTAGGGATGGAGAAGTTTGCGTTTTGAACCCTCAGAAATCTGCTGCCAGTTCATGTAGACCAAGATGGACAAAGAATGGCTCATGGGCTGTCTGTGGTCCTAGAAACATTGTTTTGGGATCACCTTTACCACAGACTGTTCATGAGGACCAGCTAGGACTACCTTCAGCCCATACTTTATCCATTCTTTTGGAGTCAACACTTTTGCAAATAAACAAAGAAAGAAATATTGCTTGTAAATGAGCCTCTAGGGCCATGCTGAGGGAATTTATACCATGTTTTGAATTTCCCTGGATCTCCAGATATCAAACTTTTTTTTAATACATTTCCGGATTTGTTCTCCATTTTTGTCCAAAAACACACTCTAGAGATTTTCATCATGGCATGGCTTCTTTTGACATCAAATTTGAACAAGAAGTTATTTTCCCTCATTTCCTATTTTTATAAAAGGCCTCTTTGGGCCAAAAATGGGTAAAAAAAGCTCGAAAGTATGATCCCTTGACCACTAGAGAACATTTTGTTTCAAAATGTTGTTTTTAAATGCAGGAGTGGGGGGTTACCGGGTTGGCTCTCCAAAGTCTAATGTTGTCTCCTACTTTTCCAAGTTGCCCCTCCGTGATGTAGACAGTTGACAGACAAAGAGTGTACTTGGATAACAGGCAACTTTCTATGTTTCAGGGGATGCAGTAATTATCATCTTCCCCTCCCCTTTGTCTTCTGGAGTACTCAATCTTTTGGGCCTCAAGGGCTGAAGGTAATGTTGGCTGGAGACCTAATAGTTGTACAGAAAGGCAAAGCATGCATGTGTTCACACACAAACATGCACATTTATTAGATGGCAGGATCTGCATCAGAAAGCTAATGAACAGCTTCTAGGTCACTTGAGAAATGGGATTTCTGCTTCCATGTCATTAGTGGTGAAGGCCAGCTGCTACTGTGTGTAATTGGAAGTGATCGTTTAGCTTCCTTTACCTTCTATTAATGGCAATTCCTGCTTCTGTGTTATTCTCAGTGACAGAAGAACAGAAATCTCATGTGTGTTTGTGTTTGGGAGAGGTGACAGGAATCCATTGACACAGGAAGTGCATGGCTATACAGTATTTCTTCAAGGGTCAGAGATAGGTCATCAATTGTTGGTTGCATACCCTGCTATGAACAAGAATGTGTACAGTCATTGAAAGTCCTGTTATTTCCCCCTTACTCCAGCATCACTTGACATTGGAGTAACCATCCATTTTCCTAAAGGAGATAGGTAAAAGAAAATTACCAAATGTTTTCTCTTAATGGAGTAGCACAGGCCAAATGTCCCATCTGTCCAGTAGCTCGACCTTTTTTGGACCATGTATAAATAACAATACCAACAGTTTCTGTTTAGCTCCTTGCCACCTTATAATAGAAGGGAAAGAGAAGTGAAAATATTGTATTTCAAAGCATGAAACACAGGAACACACACACAATCGCCTAAATAAAAAGGCAATCAAATACACATTATCAGTGCTGACATGAGATGGCAATACTAAGTTTCACATTTCCCTTATTCCCTGTTATTAGTAATTGCATTTAATGATCCAAAATGCATACAGATCATTACTCTGATCATTCCTCATCTTGTACTGCTGTTATTACTAATTTCACTCTTCTTTTCTTTTTCTAAAGAATGTTGTCAGAAGGATACCTCTATGGAATTCCTTTCCATGATCTTTTGAATCATGAGCTTTGTCAGAAAGAAGAAGAGTCTGCAAGGGAGCTGAAGTCTTTGAATGGGATCATCTATGAATCAGCAAAGGAAACACATGACAGAACTTTCTGGAGGTGTCAATCTGTTGGCAAGTTAATCTACTCTGTTTGTTCCAAAGAAAACAGAAATAGTAGAAAACAGAAAGCAACACTGGCACAGATTAATGAAAACCCATTATTTGAACAACAAACTTCTGCATCTGTGGACATCTCCATGGGATATGGTGGAAATAGAGACACCTACCTGGTTCCACCGTCTTGTAAAAGCATTTGCAAAAATTACAATGACTTGCATATTGCTGGTGACCAGGTGCTTCCTATGAGTTCAGTGAAAAGAGATTTTACTTATAATAATGGCATAGGACCATTCCTAGAATCATTTGAGATTCCACCACCAATGGAATCTATATCACTTCCACCAGCTGATAACCCTCCCAAGCCAGTTCAAGGATATTCCTCATGCTGGCGAGTGGCCAGCATCATGCAACACCAGCAACCCTTATCTAATTCAATACTGAACAACTACTTAGAGGAGAAAGTAGTAGAATTGTACAAGCAATACATCATGGATGGCATGGGCAGCAGTGCATCCCCCACCCACATATTGGCGTCAGAGTTCATCATGACCAATGTAGATCAAATTAGCATGAAGTTAACACAAGAGAAGAAGATAAACAGCACCAAGGCCAAAGACATGGTCATTAACTGCCTACTACAACTAGCTAGTGGGAAAGTCTCTACTGAAATGAGCACTCCGAGTCTTCACATTTCCCAGTTCAGCACCGTCACGAAATAACACTTGTCCGTGACTCAAAAGCTCTAAATTTTGGCCATTGACAATCATCATCGAAAGTCAGTTTAGTTTCTGCCAGGTACAATATCCTTTATTTTTTAGATGAACTCCTGTTGAAAGAGTTGGCTTGGAGATCACACAGGGATGGAAAAAATTTGATTCTCCAGATGTTTTAGATTAGGAGTTCTTCAGGCTTATACCACTTGCCAATTTGGGTTAAGATAATGGAGATTGTGAGTCAAAACAGCAGGTGAATCAAATATCCCTTACATCCACTATAAAGAAATGTTAGTTTCCCCCAAAAGTTACCATTTCCTGTTTTCTTTCAATGATCATGCATTCACCTGCATCTCCCTACATTTCATTAACATTTTCCTGGCACCATCCTTTCATTGCCAATACGATTTTAGCATTTCCCATTTTATTTGGATAATTTACAAATGTTTTTGTCAATTCTATATAGTATTACACAAAAGTGTGAGGTGGGAGATAAAAACATTATTACTTCCTTAATAATTTGAATATATATATTGGACATCTTTTTCCTACACCAGAGTTAGCAAATTCCTGTTGACTAGGGAATTTAATATTTCAGATTTGTTCTGCTTCATGGGAAAGATGAACTTGATAATTTCAGGGAGAGGCATGCATGCATCTTTCCTGTGCAACTATATAAATTTGTCACATGAAATCATAAAACTGATGATTTCATATTGAAGAGGCTGCTTTTCATGTGTTCTTTAGAGCAGTGTCCTTCAAGCCTTGTTCATATCTGTGATATATTTGACGGCTTTAAATAGTGTCACAATGCAATCTGAAAAGCTAAGTGTTCTTGTCTCCCATTAATATCAAGCACTTCCTTTTTCCAAGTGTTTACATTCTGGGCATAAGCATTATGGGGAATGGCTGTCATGTGACTCACAAACAAAGCCATCATTCTTTCAAAACAGCAATGTTCAGAAACATTGTAGGGGTGGGAGATCTCTCTCTTACTCCAGATGTTGTTGAATTCCAACTCCTAGAAACCCTAGAAGCCATAGGCAATTACTGGATATGATGGTCTTTATAGTACACATTTATACAGTGCAGCAACATTGGATCAGACATATGTTCATCAACCTGTCTTGTTCCAAAAATATACTACTCTATTCCAAAAATACACAACTCCTACAAAACATCCCACTCCCCTAAAATGTTGTTACATTAACAACATTGTCTTCACTGAGGAAATTATAGGTAAAACTCTGGACAATCATGTTGATTGCTTATAGAATGGTTCTGAATCTTTGACCATGAATATACATTCAAGAGTACTGGGTGCACTTGAAATGTGAAAACATTCATTACATTGAGTTGAAAATTATTAATATTATTCCCACATCTCTGTCCCAGATGAAATAGAGTATATTATTTTTAGGGCAGGAACAAAATTACTTTCTAATGATTCTATATTTTTTCTGTGGTATTTGTATAAGAGGCAATGAATTTGATGCCAGCCTCTGTTAAATACATTACAAGAGTCATTACACCACGGATACATTTAAAGGATATTATAAGTGTTTAAAGAGTAACAGCAGTTTCAAGAAGATAAGACAGTTTTAGACAATTTATATTCTAACTGTCATGAACTGTGAATTTAAGTTTTTTGTTGACCTTGTGTCTGTAGTCTGATTGTAAAGGTGAGATCAGCTGCATACAAGAAATCTCTAGCTCTTCATGATGGATTTAGATCATTTCCCTGACAGAGATGCCTTTGAGCAGTTAAACTGCATTATATGAGTCTACACTGACCATAAAATGCAATTTCAAATTGTATGATATGGCAGTGTAAATGGGGCCCAATTCACATTCCTCTCATATTGAGCAGGATTACTAGCACAATGACATTTCACCAGCAGGGTAAAACTAACCTGTCTCACACAGATCTAAACCCAGTTCATGTTCCCTACAGATAAATAATTCTTCCAATTGCTGATTTTATGAGAAAAGATGAATGGAAAAAGCCCCCTGCAAGGAGTCCTCTGTGAGTGGGAGCATCTAATCAAGGAATTAACCAAAAGCAGCAACTCTTTGCTGTTATGTTAAATTTCCCACAATGGCCTGGAAAAGTGTAATGTCAAGTGCTCTGGACTTTGTATGGAATATAATATTGTGGGTTACCACTATACGGCTCAGGTCCTGCTTATTTATGTGACCGCATCTCCTCATCTCAACCTGTCTAGACTTTAAAATCAGCTAAGGAGGCCCTCCTCTCAGTCCCACCTCTTTCACAAGCAATGTTGGTGGGGATGAAGGAGAAGGCCTTCTCAGTAGTGCCCCACTTCCCGACTCTGGAATGCTCTCTCCAAGGAAATAAGACAAGCACCCACCTTGTTAATCTTTAGGAAAGAGCTAAAAACAAGCAAGCCTTTGAGAATGGCTAGATTTTATTGGAAACTACTAGAGAGTATTTGGAATGACCATGAGATTGCTAATTATAACTTCTGTATAGCTTGATAATAGGAATGGTGATATATTTAGATTGTTTTTACAAGACAAATAGCTTTTAATTGTTATTTATTAATGCTTATGGTATTTTAAATTGTACTAAAAGATAATTGTCTTTGTTATTGTTAATCATGTACTGCATGTATTGTTGTATTATTGCTTTTTGTAAGCCACCCTGATTTCTTTGGGGAGAGGGGACAGAGTATAAATAAAAGATTATTATTATTATTATTATTATTATTATTATTATTATTTTTTTACTGACACAAAAACACAGTATGTCACAGCAAACGAGATCTATATGCTGGATTTTGTATCACAAAATCACAAGTCAAACACTTCCCAAGCATCTAGGACTGTGTGTAGATCCAAGTAAGGAGGCCTTTTGCAGTTGACAGATCATGATTTTGTCATTGTTTATTGCTTCTAAATGCCGGCTGAGATCTTTTGGCATGGCACCCAGTATGCCGATGACCACTGGGACCACCTGTAATGGTTTATGCCAGAGCCTTTGCCGTTCGATTTTGAAGTCCTGATAATGACTGAGTTTTCCTGTTGTTGTTGTTGTTGTTGTTGTTGTTATTCAGTGGCTAGCAGATGAACTTAAGAATTCAGGGAGCAGGCATTGTTAGGTCTTGCAGTTCTCCATGCTGATTCCCATTAAGAAAAAATCTTGTGGTTGTAAACATTTGGATATATAACTGGTGAATATGCAACACATGGGATTTAAGCTTTAAAAAGTCATAATACACACAAAGCCTAATTTTCTTTTTAAAAAGCATTCCTCATTCATGTTAAGATGTCCATTCCCATGTAAGGTAACACCACACTTACAGGTTCAGTGGTGAGTGGGGTTCCCTTTATGAAATAAGCACACAAACAGCAATTTATTGGAATAGGATAAGAGCGTAACACAATAGCTGAAGAGTTCATCACCTGAAAACAGGATTGAGCCATCTGCCTCCAAGCAGGCTATGGTTCTTATGACCTTCCCATTCCAGTCCTATAAGGGGACCCTCATTTGGATATGATGGGAACACATACATCAGCTCTCCACCAACTGGATCCAGACACTATGCTAAAACTGCCCAAAATGGAGATAAAGGCTAAATAGTCTGGTAGTAGAGCAGAGTAAGGCATTTGTTCTAGGCTTCTTCCAAACTTGCCTACCGACTACCTGGATGCTGTCAATGGGATGCATTTCCCATCATTTCCAGGAAAGTACTTGTATATATCTAAGGTCACTGTTAGGACTTACTTTCTAACTTCAGTGGTACCTGGTAAGGCATACGTGAGGTCTCATTGTCTCAGCAGCCTTGAGAAAATAAAAGCAAAAGAGGACTTTTTTCTGACAAGCTGGTGAACATTTCTCTGACATTTCTCTGACATAGCAATTCATCAGTGTCCTTGCCCTTGCCCTTATGTTATGTTAGTCGATTGTCTGTGCACTTATAGTAAAAATAGCTTTGTTTTGTGGGCTGCTTCAAACAGGATGCAGTTTCCATGGACAAAATAGGTTTGCAACTTTGCACACCTTAGAGTCAGCATCAACAGTACAACAGCATTTTATGAGAATACTTGTGTTGTAAAGAAAGTAGAAAAATATCTCTTTCATAAAACTAGAGCCAAGAATTATCTAATTAAACAGATTTAACTGTCTCTTCCCTGTATTCCATTGATTTTTTTTATTCAAGAAGTTCCACTTGTAATTCTCATATCACATGCCCAGAAAGGATAAAATGGTCTGCAACTGTCATTTCTAATATGAGATTTAAATCTTTTATCCTCTTGAGTATTTATTTATTTATTTATTTATTTACAGTATTTCTATACCGCTTTTCTCACCCCTAGGGGGACTCAAAGCGGTTTACACATAACTGACAAAACTTCAGTGCCAAACATTGGACACTGACGTGATGCCAAACCATAACAACCACAATAATAAAACCACAATTAAACATAAATCATAATTAGACAGTACAGGCTGTCCTTTTTATCCAAGGTACAGTGCAGACATTGCTGACATAGGATGTTGTGTATCACATTGGAAAATGAGTGATAAATGTACTTCTGACATTGTGAATGACATTATTAACCCCTGTAATGTTCTTCTCTGAACAAAAGTGTAGAGTTGGCACTTTGGTTTGTGGCAGCATCTTGGGTTTCTGGCAGCATCTTGTCTCTGTATTATTAGCCTCATGGACAGTTACTCACATTTGCCAAACAGCTTTATTGCATTCACATATCAATATGAAGTAATTAAAGGGCCAAACGACATGCATCATCTTGCACAGCTCTTTAATTATTTATGGCCAGGGTCACAATAATAATAATAATAATAATAATAATAATAATACTTCATTTATATTCTGCACTTCTCACCTTGAAAGGGTGGTTCACAGTACACATACAAGGCAAACATTCAATGTTGTTTTGTATAGATAATACACAGACAGAAAGAACAGAAGGAGATGCCATGGAAGGTTGGGCTCGAGTCCAGGGGGTGCTGTTGCTCTTTCCTCTATGACGAAGAGCCGTTAGGACTTCCTCCTTCCTTTTGGTCGCCCAGCATTTTCTGATCTTCTTTTTTTATGGAGTCGTAAAACACCTGCTTTTAGCAGTACCTAAAGCTGTTTTCTAATTGCTTAGGTAAACAATGAGCTAGGCTGCCAGTTGGCAGCTCATGCCAACCTGGGGCTTTGAACTTGCAACCTTTTGGTTGATAGATCTTATAATTGCTGATGATTTACCAGCTGTGCTAAACCTCTTTCTGTATCTTGTTATAATTGCTTTTATTCCCACAACTACATAACTATGTTTAAAAATCTATGGATTTAATTGATATCCATCTTTGTGAGATGGGAGCTGGCAGGCTCTGGGGATCAACTAGTGCTCAACTGGTGTATGCCACTGAAGTAAGCCCCATCTGATGAGGTCATTAAAGGTGCTATTAAATTTGTTTTTCTCTTTCGTTTTTTAACCACTTGTGTTAAATCAACTCCGTATCAGATGTATTAGTGACTAGTGAATATTCTAGTATAGGGACCTCATCAGTCAGAATGACTTCAGCATCCTAGAATGTTTTCACCCCATCTAGAGGACAGGCCCCTATGCCGGGCAGGAGGCTCTGCCCCCAAATGGGGTAATAGCATCACCGGAAACTTACCCGTCAACACAGGACTCTTCCCATGTTGTGCTGGCTCCAGTGAAGCCAGCACGGGACCTCTCCACAAGGCCTCATGCTGCTCCTTCCTTTCTCCTGGATGCCAGTTGAAGTGGGATGCTTCGCCTGGCCTTCATGATGAGGCTGATAATGTATCTGCACTAACCATCTGTTAGACTGTCCACACTACAAAATTATATCCCTTTCAACATGACTTTACCAGCTAAACCTCTGGAATCCTGTGATTGGTTTGCGGTGCCATCAAATCTCTCTGACAGAGCAGGATATTCACAAAACTAAAAATCCTAGAAGTCCACAGGATGAAACCACAGCAGGTAATATAGTGTCAAAAGGCTATAATTCTGCAATGTGTATATGGCCATGTGTATATGGCATGTCTGTGCGGCCAGGTTATATTGATATAATGTTGTTCATTCGTTCAGTCGTCTCCGACTCTTCGTGACCTCATGGACCAGCCCACGCCAGAGCTCCCTGTCGGCCGTCACCACCCCCCAGCTCCTTCAAGGTCAGTCCAGTCACTTCAAGGATGCCATCCATCCATCTTGCCCTTGGTCAGCCCCTCTTCCTTTTACCTTCCACTTTCCCCAGCATAATTGTCTTCTCCAGGATTTCCTGTCTCCTCATGATGTGGCCAAAGCACTTCATTTTTGCCTCTAATATTCTTCCCTCCAGTAAGCAGTCAGACTTTATTTCCTGGAGTATGGACTGGTTGGATCTTCTCGCAGTCCAAGGCACTCTCAGAACTTTCCTCCAACACCACAGTTCAAAAAGCATCTATCTTCCTTCGCTCAGCCTTCCCTAAGGTCCAGCTCTCACATCCGTAGGTTACTACAGGGAATACCATGGCTTTGACTAGGCGGATCTTTGTTGCCAGTCTGATGTCTCTACTCTTTACTATTTTATTGAGACTGGACATTGCTCTCCTCCCAAGAAGTAAGCGTCTTCTGATTTCCTGGCCACAGTCTGCATCTGCAGTAATCTTTGCACCTAGAAATACAAAGTCTGTCACGGCCTCCACGGTTTCTCCCTCTATTTTCCAGTTGTCAATCATTCTTGCCATAATCTTGTTTTTTTGACATTTAACTGCAACCCAGCTTTTGCACTTTCTTCTTTCACCTTGATTAGAAGGCTCCTCAGCTCCTCCTCGCTTTTGGCCATTGATATAATACAGTCCCTATATTTTCAGGATAATTTACTACCTTATATGTACTTCATCAAACACAAATCCTATGATCCCTATTAAAGCAGCCATGCATATTAAAGTAGTATGAAGCTGATAATAATAGGGTAGTACAGATACGTGTCTCGTCTGGAACTGTAACCTGAGAAAGGAAGTGATTCGTCTAGTCAGATTATTCAGATTTTTAAACTCATGTCTGTGGTATGTTACCACCTGGTGCTTCCTCTCTTCCTCTCTCTGCCCATCCTCCTACCCACCCACATATGAATGCATAGACAAGAGAAAGTTAAAAATAAGATTTTAAACATAGAACTAATTTATGCCGTTGAATTCATATCTCAGCCATACCAACATAGTGAATTATGGGCTAATGTGATTTTGCAGAAACCTGGCAACAGATCAGTTAAAGAAAAAAAATCAGCATTTTTTTGACACCCATAACTCTTCCTCCAATAGTTTCTTTGAATAACTCTCTTTTAATAATCTACCATGAAACCAATGTGCAAAAATGAGGTGGGGGAATTCTACCAACTTGGAAAATA